ACCTTCGATTTTCTCAAAACAGCATTTTTCGGAATAGCCCACTTGTGCTTAAAATTAAAAGCAACCAATTCCAGAGAAGCACAGTTAGCTCAAATTGGTACATGTAGGTGGCCCTTGTTTGAACCCCGAACTAGGCATTCTTGAACTGGGGTTGTATTGTGGAATTTTCACGACTCATCACAACCCAATCAGCTCTGTCCTATCGGAATTAGTCTAGTTTTAGTAGAGGTTTTACGGCGCTCGCAACTGCGTAAGGTCATATGAGCGCCAGAAGATTAGAGGTGTTACAAGAGAGTAACAAACATAAAAAAGAAGAAGGGGAGATAAGGACGATAGATGTTTGATAGGAAAAAAAAAGCACTATCGGAATTGGACGCTGAATCCAGAGGCCCTGCCTCTTAACAACCTAATATTGTTGTTTGTTTGCTTGAGTACAGAAATGCACATCGACCTAATAATAGTCTTGTTTTAGTACGAGTTTTACGGCACTTGCAACACAATAAAGTCATATTATAAGTGCCGAAGATTAGAGGTGCTACAAGATAGTAACAAACACAAAAAAGAAGGAGGAGAGATCAGAACATTAAATGTTTGATAGGAGAGAAGGAGGAGAGATCAGAACATTATATGTTTGATAGGAGAGAAGGAGGAGAGATCAGAACATTATATGTTTGATAGGAGAAAGAAGGAGGAGAGATCAGAACATTAAATGTTTGATAGGAGAAAGAAGGAGGAGAGATCAGAACATTATATGTTTGATAGGAGAAAGAAGGAGGAGAGATCAGAACATTATATGTTTGATAGGAGAGAAGGAGGAGAGATCAGAACATTATATTTTTGATAGGAGAAAGAAGGAGGAGAGATCAGAACATTATATTTTTGATAGGAGAAAGAAGGAGCAAACCACACCACAGCACCAACCACCCACCCACACCGTGACTGCTCAGTTGTGCCATCAAGCAGGCTGCTGATTATTAAGTTGACTTTTTCTTTCTAGTTTTAGTACGAGTTTTACGGCACTTGCAACACAATTAGGCCATATATCTATGTGCCGAAGAGTAACAACCCCCCACCCCCCACCCAACAACAACAACAACACAGAGAAAAGAGAAGGAGAGATATATAGACCATAGATGGAAGAAAGAATAAACCACACACCAGAACACCCGCCAACCACCCACGCAAAGGTTATGTAGAAAATAAAACCAGAACTTCTTTGACTGATATTGGCATCATTCTTTACTCCAGTCAACAAGGAACTCTTTCCCCACTCCGCAGGCAAATGAAACATTTCATATAATATATATTTATATATATCACTTGAGAAGAACAAGACAATAGAAAAAAAATCTGAAAAAAAAGAAAAAGGATATAATACATATATTATGAACAATTTATTGTTTGGCTCTTTCAACTGTGGACGAGAAAAATATACAACAAATGCGGACCGTAAGTAAGAAAAAAAAGCGACCACTCTCTCCTCCATCTATACAACAAACCCACAAGCTAATCAGTCATCAGCAAGCTACATCAACAATAGTCCAAGACAGATGCACAGACACACAACTCCAAAAATAAACTTTTATACAGTAGAACATGACTATAGTGGTACCACCCCTAAAGTGGGACCTTACCGTAATCCCCCCAAATCGGTCTTTTTTGTTTTAGTAAGTGTTTTACAACATTTGCAACACAATAAGGTCATATAAGTGCTGAAGATTAGAGGTGTTACAAGAGAGCAACAAACACAAAAAAGAAGCAGGAGAGAAAAGGGCGATAGATGTTTGATAGGAAAGGAGAAGCAAACCACACCAGAGCACTCGCCCACCAGCCACTTTTTTTGGTCTATGTACACTCAATTAACTATGCTTGGCTTTTAAGAGGACATGACCACCATAATAAAAAGGAGAAGATGGAGATGGATGGGACATGTTCTGAGAAGAGAACCAGACTCTATTGTGTGAAGACTGCCCTCCACTGGACACCCGAAGGACATCGCAAGAGGGGCAGACCCAAAGTGACCTGGAGACGCACAGTAGAGTCTGAAATGAAGTCCTGGAATCATTCGTGGGGAACGCTGACCAAGATGGCCCAAAACAGACAGAGCTGGAGATCCTTTGTTGTGGTCCTAAACGCCAGATGGCGTAACGGGTAGTAAGTAAGTTAGTGGGTTTTACGAGGCAAAGGAAAGGCCCGAACTTGGACACAGCGAGAGAGATGGAACGAGCTCTAGTAGGTGGGAAGGGAGTTGGGTTTGGGGGGATGGGGGGGCTCTAGGTGGGCTCCAAAAAGGCAGTCAGCGGTGCTGTGTTGTGATTGGTCAGTCCTGTCTTGAATGAGGTGGGGCAGGCGGCAGAGAGAGATGGTGCGGAGAAGCGCGTTACGCGAGCCACTCCAAAAGTGAGGTGCCATAGCCCTGAGCCTAGGCTAGGCCAGCCAAAAAGACAGTAAAAGAAGAGGAGAGCGTGTAGATCGAGTGTGTGATTTTTCGGTAATTCCCCTTTGCACTCCTATAGCGGGAACTTGCCAAAAGCGGGATTTTTCTTCTGGAACTAAAAGTCCCCCTATAGCCATGTCCTACTGTAATTTGATAGTAGCAACTAAGAGAGCAAACAAATAAGTATAGAATAGAATGACAATAATAACACAGAACGAATTAAGATAGCAAAATTGGTCCTCTAAAGCTTCGAAAAAGAGCAAAATTACAGAGAGAAAGAAATACAGGAAAAAAAACAAGGGGAAGGGAGGAGGGGTATCCGCCAGTGGCACGCACCCCCCC